TGATGTATTCTTATATTCAGTTTGCAAGAATTTTATTGAGTATTTTCCATCAATAATCATAAGTAAAATTGGTCTGAAGTTCTCTTTCCTTGTTGGGTCTTTTTATGTTTTAGGTATAAGCATAAATGTGGCTTCATAGAAGAAATTGTGTAGTGTTCCTTCTGTTTCTGTTTTGTACAATGGTTTGAAGACTAATGACATTTGGTCTACTCTGAAGGTCTGATAGAATTCATGCACTAAAACTGTCTGCTCCTGGGCTTTTTTTGGTTGGGAGACTTTTAATGATTGCTGCTATATCTCTATGGGTTATAAGACAGTTTAGATAGTTTATTTGATCCTGATTTACCTTTGGAACCTGGTATCTGCCTAGAAAATTACCCATTTCATCCAGATTTTCCTGTTTTGTTGAGTATAGGTTTTTGTAGTAGGATCTGATGATTTTTCGAATTTTCTCAGTTTCTCTTGTTATGTCTTTTTTTTCAGGTCTGATTTTGTTAATTTGGAGATTGTCTAAGTATCCTCTGGTTAGTCTCACTAAGGGTTTATCTATCTTGTTGATTTTCTTAAAGAACCAGTTCCTGATTTTGTTGATTCTTTGTGTAGTTCTCTGTGGGACTGTGTAATGGTATTCTGGTTCATGGCTGGGCAGTTGCCTAGAACCCACTCTCCCCATCCCCCAGCTACACAGAGAGGGCTCCTTCACAGCTAACAGCTGCTTCAAGCCACAGCGCCTTCTGTGAATCATTTTGAGCTCTCAGGAGTGCCTACTTCAGTCTTTCACAGGCTGCCCGCTAGCCTAGTGTAGACTTCCTCCACTCCTCTGCCATTTGTGGCTGGCTGGTTACAGCCCAACCAGCTTGCCTGAAGCAACAGGGCCAGATCCCTGCTTGCTCCCTTCCCCACTTCACCTTCTAGGTCATTTGCAGCCAGCTGTAGCCCAGCTGGCTTGCCTGATAGCAGAGGGTCTGAGATTCAGTCTGTTCTCTTCGCCCCTGTGTACCTCACTCCTTCTGACTCTCCTATCAAACACCTATGTTTCTTGCTTTGAGCTTTTCTTCAAGGTTGGCCTTCTTTTTCTCCTCTACATTTAGGATGCCTAAGAAAAACAAATGGAGAAATCCTTGGCCTCTCTGCTAGAGCACCCAGCCACCACGTGGTAGCCCGGCCACCACATGAAAGAGCAGGCCCCTACTCCACTACTTCTAAATCTGCCATTAATGCCTTTTCCCCCAACAGGAACACCTAAAACAACAGTGTTCGTGATTTTCAACCCAAAATTTTTCGCCTTTTGTTTAAATGTCTCCTTTTCTCTTTAACTCATGATATATGTCCAACATTTTTTTCAATTCTTAAGACTTCTTCAAGGTTCAAAAGTCATCTAGATCTACTTCCACAGATTAAATCAACATGCTGATCACCATCTTTCAGCTCTTAATTAACAACTAGGTTCCTTTTACAGACAAACTGTGGCTATCTATCAGACATAATTAATATGATGTTTTTCTTCCTCAGCCATTCAAAACAGACTCAAAGGTATATTCCAGGACTAAAATTTCCTCAAACACCTTTGCCTTTCTAGGATCTCAACAACACACCATGACGTGCTTGCTCCCAAGTAGCCTAATGCTTACTATATACCCTTTGCAGACATCCCCCTGCCTGGGTGCTGCTTCCATGTTGTGAGTATTCTACAGGTGCTCCCACAAGTCCAGCAGAGACAACACCACGTTCTGGAACCTGCCTAGGATGCCATGCTGTCTTCTTGTAGCCACACCACCCGACTGCAGACTCCAGAGACAAGCTGAGACCCAGAGATGCATGCCGAGATCCAGAGATGATCACTGAGTCCTACAGACAGATTCAGACCTTCCAGATACAAATGAACTCTTTTGCCAAAGTCAAATAGCTAAAGTTACATGTTAGTGAGGAAAACATAATGTGTATCTAGATTAGTCAGATGTTATTACCCTCAAACTGTACCACATGTATTCAATTGAGTCAATGATCCCTTGTCTTCCCAACCCCCACCCTCAACTCCCCTTATCCTGTGACTTAATTGTGCTAAACCCTCTGGACCACATAGTGCTTTATTTTGGCTTCCTCATCCAAAATTTTCACCACAGTGACCCCCCTTTTTTAAAAAAGTAAAGGGGAGGAGATGTGGGGCTGCGTAAGGGTATTCAGGTTCATGTCTTGGAAGTTTCCTAGAACCCCAAGACTCTACGTGAGAAACGGCAGGAGTTTGGCACACCCCCAGAACCCAGGGTCCTTAAAAGCAGTCTAGTCTCCATAAAACTACATTTTTCAGGCACGTAGGCTAGCCATTACAGCCCCTCCCAAAGTGCACAGGTAGAGGGTATGACTAGAGGCCTCAGGCCCTAGGGATTTACATACTAATGAAGGCCAGAGGGTAGAGCAAATTAAGCATGCCTCCCCAGATCCTCCCCCAAACCTCCCCAGATCCTCCCCCTTTCTCCCTCCCTATATAACTCGGGACTGCCCTGAGTTTAACGGGGGTACTTCCAGATTCATCCACTATCCGCCATGACAATAAACCCTTTGGAACCAAGGACTTCCTCCTGTTATTGGGGCCTACCGCCGCCAAAGACTCAGGCCACTGGAACCATAGACATCCTCCTGTATGTGGGCCTCTCAGCTGTGTGGAAAGCTTCCAGGACTCCACCACTGCTGCAGCCTCTATTTTATCCCCACAGTTCTCTTTGTTTCTACATGGTTATTTCATCCCTGAGTTTGATTATTTCTTGCTGTCTACTCCTCTCAGTATATTTGCTTCTTTTTGTTCTAGAATTTTCAGGGTGCTGTCAAGTTTCTAGTATGTGCTCTGTCCAGTTTCTTTTTGTAGAAACTTAGGGCTATGAGTTTTCCTCTTATCACTGATTTCATTGTGTCCTATAAGTTTTGGTGTGATATGCCTTCATTTTCATTAAATTCTAAAAAGTCTTTAATTTTATTCTTTATTTCTTCCTTGACTAAGCTGTAATTGAGTAGAGCTTTGTTCTGCTTCCATGTGTATGGGGCTTCCCAATGTTTTTGTTGTTACTGAAGACAAGCCTTAGTCCATGGTGATCTGATAAGATGGATTGGATTTCTTCAATCTTCTTGCATATATTGAGGCTGTTCTGTGACCAATTATAAGGTCAATTTTGGAGAAGATATCATGAGACACTGAGAAGATGGGATATTCTTTCGCTTTAAGATGAAATATTCTGTAAAAACCTGTTAAATCCATTTGGTTCTTAACTTATTTTAGTTTTACTGTGTGTCTGTTTAGTTTCTGTTTCCATGATCTGTGAATTGCTGAGAGCGGGGAGTTGAAGCCTCCCACTATAATTGTGTGAGTTGCAATGTGTACTTTGAGCTTTAGCAAAATTTCTTTTGTGAACATGAGTACCCTTGCATTTGGAGCAAAGGTGTACAGAATTGAGAGTTCGTCTTGGTAGATTTTTTCCTTTATCTTTTTTGAAAACTTTTAGTTAAAAGTCTATTTTATTCAATATTAGAATGGCAACTCCAGCTTGTTTCTTGGGACCATTTGCTGGAAAAATTGTTTTCCATTCTTTTATTCTGAGGTAGTGTCTGTCTTTGTCATTGAGGTGTCTTTCCTATAGGCAGAAAAATGCTGGGTCCTGTTTACATATCCAGTTTATTAGTCTATGTCTTTTTATTGGAGAATTGAGTCCATTGATGTTAAGAGATATTAAGGAAAAGTGATTGTTGCTTCCTGTTATTTTTGTTTTTAGAGGTATGATTATGTTTTTGTGCCTATCTTCTTTTGGATTTGTTGAAAGATTCCTTTCTTGTTTTTTTCTAGGGTGTAGTTTCCCTCCTTGTGTTGGAGTTTTCTATCTATTATCCTTTGTAGGGCTGGATTTGTGGAAAGATACTTTGAAAATTTGGTTTTGTCTTGGAATATCTTGATTTTTCCATCTAAGTTAATTGAGAATTTTTCTGGGTATAGTAGCCTTACCTTGCATTTGTGTTCTCTGTGGATCTGTATGACATCTGTCCAGGCTGGTAAAGGCTAGGCTCATAACCAACGAAATTTTTTTTGAAAATTCAAGTCACATGTCTCCTCTACTAAAGGCATTTACAATTCAGTTGACGATTAAGTCCTAGTAGGACTGAATAGTAACTTTCCTCTGTCTGACTAGTATTCAGGGCAGGTTTTATGCCTAGTTTTTTTTTTCCCTAAGGGTCAGATTCTTTTTGCAATTATAGTCAGTGTCCAAGGTTCAGCACACTTTTGGCAAGTCCTTGTATCTGTTGAAATCAGGTTAGCTAACTTTATACAAGGAAACAGAATTGGAGTACCTCCCCATCTGACCTCTTTGATAGCCTTCACTGCACCTTGTGGAATTATGCATACTTGGGAACCTTATCAATAGTAATCTGCATTGTCCAGTTGGCCTCCACAGGCTCTGCTGCATGGGTTTATAAAATATCTTATGTTCAGTCATCTCAGTGTCTTCTGTTTCTTCTGAAGCCCCTTTTACATAGGTGAGTCACCGCATACTTTTATTATATTGCATACATAATATACTAGTATAATTATATGCATAATATACCTATAACACTCTTCCTCCAGTTTGTCTCTGTAACTCCTCTTTCTGTCTTGTTTGATTCTATGTGCTTAGGCACTGTACCTTCTTCATTCAGCTCTAGCCTAACAGTTTGTTTCCACAGCCTCCACTGCCTGCATTGGGCTCACAAGAGAAGATACTCTGTATATCTTTCTTATAGAAATCATTGATCTGGAAACACAAAACACTGCTGTGGAGTTAGAACACATTGTCTTCCCTCCAGGGACACTTTTTCCTTTTTCACCATTTCTCTATAGCTTTTAACTTACCATTTTATTAGTTACAAATAGCTCATCTTGTGATTTTAGAGATACAAAATAAGTAGTGTGACCTCAAAAAGCATACACTTTGAAAATCATACTGTTGATAATCTGAAAAACCCAGTGAGAGACACACTACCTGCCAGATTGAAGACATCAGCCCTTCTGTCTTTCTTATTGGTCTTACTTCTACTTGATGAAGAAGTATCTCATGAAGGCTGTGGGCCACAGCATACACAGCATTGTATATATTATAAGCAAACTCAGTCATGACCATGTCAAAAAAGATCCCTGGTGATTCATGCAAGGAAGCATTTGGCAGACAGTTCTCCAGTGTATTGCAGTCATCGTCAGCAAATGAGCAGTTAAAAAGGTAGAACCACAAAGTTGTAAGATAAAAATCTTCTGGATATTTTGAAGGATGAACTGTTTGGATAAAAGTTTTGAAACCAGAGATTTCTTTGTGGTGATGTGTGAAGATGAGGCTCCCATGGAGTGAATTTACAATGAAATGCTTTGCCTGGATGACACCATCCCATTCTGAGTTCATGATCCAGACTTTCCATGTTAGTAAAGTTTGTCTTAAATAAAACAGGAAGCCTCTCAGAAAATCACTGTCACCGTAGGTGATGATCACATTTGCTGATGATTTCAGAATCTGTGTAGGATTCTGTTGCCTGTTTGGTAAATAAGATACTTCACTAACTGATATCATTTCCACAAAATCTACACATATTCTGTTTCTGTCCATTTCTGCCATCAAGTCTGAGATGATCTGAACACTATTTTGTCCTTCCGACATGATGATTCCCACCCAGTTCCAGTGGAAATAATTCAACAAGGAGACAATGGCATGAGATAGAGACATATCTTTGGAGGGCATTTGATATAGTGTAGGAAACTGCTCATGATTATTTAGGTTAGGATCAAAAGACCCAATAGTCAACTAAAAGGAAAGAATATAAAGAGAGTAAAATAATTAATAATTATACATGTGACCAAGGATTGTTAATGGAGTTCTTTGTTATTATTCACTATATTTAATTTCCCCTTTTTTCTTTTCCTTTTTTTTTTGGATAGGATTCTAAGTGAAATTGTAGCTCACCATTTTGGTTACCTTGGCTAATCTGTGAGCTCAAGTGATTCACCTGTCTCTCAAGAATTAAGGTTAAAGACATGTACTGCCTTCAACTGGTTTTATGCGAGTGGGAGATATCTACAGTAAGTTCATCATGTTTATGAATCAAATAATTTATGCACAAAGCAGCATCTCTAGACCATCATAACTTTACACTCAGGGTAATCAGTGTCTGCTCCAGACTATTCCCTTTCTCTGTCCTGAAACATCACTGATCATTTACTCTTTGGGATTATGAACATTGTCAGATGCATACGCACATTTTTCTTCCATATTCTTTTAGCTCCTTGGAATGGCACTGAGTTATAAATGGTTTTATATTTTTCCACTTCACTCATTCTTACCTGTGGATATTTGTAGAGTTTCAGCAGTGTCCCTATATTGGCTGATATTATCCAGGATATGCCTGTGAGTACTGCAACAGACTTCATCTCTCTCTTACACGTGTAATTAGGCACATACTCCTTCAGCCCAGACAGCCAT